TGAGATGTGGTGCTGGAGAAGAGTGCTGAGGATATTGTGGACAGCCAAGAAGTCAAATGGGCCCAAGCCTGAACTCTCCCTGGAAGCCGAGTTGACTAATTTGAGGCTGTTATATTTTGGTCACATCATGAGATGGCAGGACTCATGAGAAAAGACAATGATGCTAGGAAAGGTAGAAGGTAGTAGAAAGGAAGGAAGGCCACATGCCAGATGGACGGAGTCAGGGAGGTCTTGGGCCTGAACCTACAGGACCTAAGCAGAGAAGTGGAGGAGAGAGGGTCTTGGAGGTGTCTCATCCACAGGGTCGCCATGAGTTGAGATTGACTCGAGGGCAGTTAACAACAACAAAATACAAACAAACAAACAAACAAACAGGAAACTCTTTAACTATAGGGTGACTTCCTTCATAGGGTGACCAGAGCTGGCCTTCCTTTTCCAGGACCTGTCCTCCATTCCAGCATTCTGTCCGGGGGAATTTCAGAATGCCCTCCATTTTGAGCATGACTTGAGAAGAATGAATTCAAAGACCTAGCCCTGTTTAGTCTGTAAAATCAGTCTATAAAGAGACCTTGTAGCCCCTTTGAGCTTTCATAGGCTAAAGTCTACTTCAGGGTTAGGCAACCTTTCCCCTTTAAGGGCCGAGGGACTTCCGCTCCCAGAATCCTCAGCCATGTTGGCCAATAGTCCCATGTTGGCCAATAGCTCCTGGGATTCTGGGAGTTGAAGTCCCTCGGCCCTTAAAGGGGAAAGGTTGCCTACCCCTGGTCTACTTCCTCAGATGTATTTGGTGGAGTGGAGAGCCAGGGAGAGACCTATACATGTCATTAGTTTGTGAGAATGTCAATTTAGATTCAAAATCCTTGGTGGACAAAGACGGAGGAAACTAGCCTGAGGCAAGGAGAATAGATTAACTCTGTTTCCCACACTAATCTATTCTCCTCACCTCAGGAGAGCTTCCTCTGCCTTTATCCACCAATGACCATAGTTAAAACTGGACTTGCCACTTCATTTCCATACACAAAGGATTTTGAATTTGAATTGACATTCTCACACACCAATGGCATATGTCCCTGTCCCTGGCTCTCCATTCCACCAAGTGCATCTGAGGAAGCAGACTCAAGTCTGCAAAAGTTAAGGTGATATGATAGCCGTGTTTAAATATTTGAAGGGATGTCATATTGAGGAGGGAACAAGCTTGTTTTCTGCTGCTCCAGAGACTAGGACCCGAAACAATGGATGCAAGCTGCAAGAAAAGAGATTCCACCTCAACATTAGGAGGAACTTCTTGACAGTAAGGGCTATTTGACAGAGGATCACTCTCCTTCAGAGTGTGGTGGAGTCTCCTTCTTTGGAGGTCTTTAAACAAAGGCTGGATGGCCATCTGTCAGGGATACTTTGATTGGGAGTTTCTGCATGGCAGGGCGTTGGACTAGTGGCTCTTCTTGGGGTCTCTTCCAAATCTTCTATGATTCTGTGAATTTCTTTCTTTCTGTCAGTCTCAAAGGGGACACAAGATCTCTCTACACACACTGAGAAGCATAAAACCAGGGGTAGGCAACCTTTCCCCTTTAAGGGCCGAGGGACTTCAGCTCCCAGAAGCCTCAGCCATGTTGGCCAATAGCTCCAGGGATTCTGGGAGCTGAAGTCCCTCGGCCCTTAAAGGGGAAAGGTTGCCTACCCCTGCATAAAACATTCAGGGATGGCTGTGCTGGCTATTTAGCAAATTCAAACAAAAACCCGCCAAACAGCGATACCTGTATTGGCCAACCAAAATGCACAATATACTTGTCGCAAGCTTTCGAAGTTCCATGGCTTCTTCATCAGGCAAGGGGTTACAAACCAAACAGGAGAGAGAAAAACAATTGGAAGTGTTAGTCTGAATTTGCTAGATGGCCAACACAGCTACCCCTCCATGTTCCTTGATATACAATATGCATTATATTGCATATTTGCGGCGGTCCCATGGGAACCCGAAGTCAAGGTTGCGGTCCTTTTTAATCCACCTCTACATCCCATAGGAGAGGAGGAGGAGGAAGAAAAAGAAAATGGCGACGCGAAAGGAGACTCTGCGGCCTGAGGAGGAGGAGGAGGAGGAGGAGGACTTCCTGCCGCCGCGGTGCATTGTGGGAAGGCCGGCGGGAGGGAGGGGAGGCGGTGAGGCCGGCCTGAGGGAGCGGCGATGGCGGACGGCGGCGAGGAGCCGTAAGTACCCGGGCGGCCGGTGGCTCCCCTCCCTCCCTCCGCGGCCCCTGCCCCGCCGCCTCCGCCGCCACCTCCGCCTCTTGGGAAGGTTGGGGCTCCCTCTCCTGAGCTGTCCTGGCCGGCGACTGACCCTTCTTTTACTCTCTCTGGCTGTTTAGGGAGAAGAAAAGAAGGAGGCTAGAGGAGCAGCAGCAGCGGCGGCGGCGGCGGCAGCGGCTAGCGGGAGAGAGGCGGCAGAGAGAGACGGGGTCAGTGCGGGGAAGAAGGGGCAGAAGCGGCAGCAAGGAAGGGCCCAGGGAGGGAAGGAGGGGACCCTTCTTAGGGGCTGCTCACGGGGGGGGGGGGCCCTCGCCTCGTTGGAGCACAACGTTTGACGCACAGGAGGCAGTAGAAAAGGCCCAGGGAAAAGGTTCAAGTGGACTCTTGAAGCCGAGCAAGCAAAGCCAAAACCTTAAGTTACCAAAATGGAAGTCCTATTTGTTTCTTTGTTAGTTTGTTCGTTCGTTGTCATGGGGTTTTCTTGGCTACCCTCTGAGGCTGAGAGAGAGTGACTTGCCCAAGGTCACCCCGTAGATTTCATGCATGGCTCAGCGGGGATTCGAACCCTGGTGTCTCCAGAGTCCTAGGGCCTTTATAGACTGCCAGAAATAATGCAGCTTGAGGCCACTATAACTGTCCTGGCTCAGTGCTAGGGAATCATGGGAATTGTATTTTTTCCTGGGACATTGAGCCTTCTCTGTCAGAGAGCTCTGGTGCCACAATAAAATACACTTCCCATAATTCCCTAGTACTGAGTCAGGGCAGTTAAAGTGGGCTCATTTTGCACTATTTCTGGCAGTCTGCAAAGGCCCCTAGTCCAACATTCAAACCACTAATAAACCCTGATGAAGAAGCCCATGGAGCTTCGAAAGCTTGTGACAAGTATATCGCACATTTTGGTTGGCCAATAAAGGCATCGCTGATGGGTTTTTGTTTCAGTTTGCTAAATGGCCAAAACAAAAATTCTCTCTAAAGTAATACAAATTTTGACAGTCTCCCCCACTTTGAGACCACCCGGATCAACATGAACAGAAGTGGAAACACAAAAGACTTAACAGGGCCATGTCTGTTAGAAAAGGAAAAAGCATAATTCAGTGGGTTTTTGTTGTTGTTGTGTGCCTTCAAGTCTTTCCCGACATAGACAACCCTCGGGTAAACCTATCATGGGGTTTTCTTGGCACGTTTCTTCAGAG